TATGAAAATTCAATCCATATCCATGCAGTGCATTGGGATATATGTCCTTTTGAAGAATAAGTAGCGCTGGCTTGTCCTGGAGTGTAATTTTTTTTTTTGCGCAACGCGGAAGATAATTCATTTCAGGACTAGATTTTGACCAATCACAGCAGACCGCTAGCCCCCACTTTCTTGAAAAGAAGTACAGGTTTCTCGTTAGCGTGCACAGACAGCTAAGATAGACGAGCATCATGGCGGAGGCGAATCTCAAACTTCCTGTGTCTTCGTTACTGGTATACAGCAAAACAGCCAAAAGAAAGTCCCTACAAGAAAAAGAAGACAGGCCAAGAGTCTGAAGGACCCGGAGAGATGAGGTTGACGAGACTAATTTAGCACTAGGGCATGCAATTAAATGAGGAACAAAAAATACCTGCGACATTTCCATTTGTTTTTGGGCCAAAACAAGACACGTATCCAGCTCCGTAAACAAAAGCATACGAGCACGCACAAAGCTTCGTGATTGCGGGGAGGGGAGCAGAAAGAGCAAGGGCAGCGCTCACATTTGAAACTGCTGCTTCAAAGTCACAGAGTGAGTTAGTCCAGCTTTAATTCGGGAAACTCCGACTACACTGTCAACAAGTTTCAACAAAACTTATCTTGTCGCAAAACACACTGAATCCCCCACAAAACCACCACCTTGTTAATCAACGGGGTGTGAGTTTTAATGTGTGTTCTTACCTTGATGATGAGGCAGGACGTGAGGCTGTGTCTTCATTTTGTCTCAGCCTGTAGCTCTGCAGGTTTGCTTGTTGATAAATTGTTATTCCCATTGGCTTTTGGCCTGAGCTCTGCCCCCAGCTCTGCCCCGGCTGTGTGTGATTCTGTCCTGGGGCACAGTCTTGGTCCTGGGCCCTCTGGTCATCGCGGTTTCAGCTTCCAACCGCGAAGCTGAAACCGCATACATTCCTCTACGTGTCATTCTCTTTACAGCGCGTTTGTAATACAGTACTTCATCAGGAGCCTCTGTAGAGTGAGGAGCATCTTCAGAACAATCGTGCGGCGGAGGAACATTTCTATTTACATTCAAGCGAGATGTCATTTTTCAAAATAAATGATCGTTTAGACTCAGATAGTAAAAACGCAAATGATTCATTCTTTCCTTGGCGAACTGCTTCGAATGTCCCACAGTCCGGTACTGGTCCGTGGACCGGGGGTTGGGGACCATTGCCCTAAAAGACACTTCTTCATACCTTCTATTAGGTATGAAGGCTTATTCTTTCTTTTCATTTTAAATACATTAGGAATCCAAGTTACTTTTAGCATCAATACATATTTAGTGTTACTTGACCAAACTTGGACAAACATTGTAAAAAGTACGACAAAAAGTTGTACAAATATTCTGTAATTTATGATTTTCCCGCTAATTAACCTACATACTAGAGATTTCTGTAATGTGACGGAATGACACCTCACACATAACAAATGTAATGCCGTGCTCTCCTTTGCATATGTGTCCCTCAGACTCTTCCACCGACTTTTGCATACTTCCACATCAACTCATAAGCGGGAAAGTACTAGTAGTTGCTCAAACATGACTAATTTTGGACGAGGAAATATTCACTATCGTGAAAAGTTTAAATAACTTACCCGAGACACCAACTTCCTTTATAACCCTCCTCCATTTCTGTCATGATAGTTATAGTCCTCGGGGTTCTGAATGAGCAGGGACCATCAGTTTGTCCTATAATAGATCCATGTGTCCTCCATAGTTGATGATCTGTTGTCTTCCTGGTCGTTAAATGAGTCAGTACGCCATTGTTGGCAAAAGCTCCTGATTGGTCGACGCTCGCGAATATCTCCAAAAAGGTGCACATTAAAGTAGGGCAATTCATCCTCTGCATTTGACCCATCCTGATGCCGCTAAGGCTTACGTCAGGAGCAGTGGTCGCCGTAGTAACAGCGCCCAGGAACCCATCTCCAGATGTTGATGATCGGCTTGGTCAGGACCAGAGCTGGAGGATTTAACCTAGTTTTAGTGGTAGGGGAAACTGGAGTACCCAAAGGCAAGGCAAGTTTATTTGTATAGCACAATTCATACACAAGGCAACTCAAAGTGCTGAACAAGATAGCATTAACATCATAAATAATCACAGAACATTAAAAAGAAAGATAAAAACATAAAATCCCTCAGTTGTATGCACAGCTAAAACAGGAAACCTACACAAGCACGGTGAGAACATGCAAACTCCACTCAGAAAGACCCCAGTCCGATTGGGATTCGAACCCAGGACCTTCTTGCTGAGAGGTGAGAGTGCTTTCCACTCAGCCACCTGCCACCCCGTGTTGTCAGCTTAAGTGTGATTATCAGTCTGTGGAAAGCCGTCTATAAGTGAAGATCGTTTACTTATCTCCATCAAAGTCCACTTTTAGTTCGTTGCCAAGTTATTTTCAGATGCTGCTGGTTTGAGTTTAAAATGCTACAACAACATTGAAGACATTATGCCTTTCCATGATCACCATGTTCCTTTTCTGAAACCAAGGGGACTTTCAGTGCCAGGTTTGGCACTGGCATGATCATATCGTACTAAATAAAACAGTTTGTGAAGACTAAACTAATTTTTCCTTCCCCTGCTTATTGAAGCTTCCCTACAGAATCACTTTATTGCGTTACGATGAGTATTGTAATTTTCAATGCCAAGAGACAGCTGTATGCCTTGTCAGGTGGAATAAGCTCTTATCGCTAGAAGAAATAGCTCCGCCTGCATACAGCTCCTCAGCCCTATAGAGAGGATCCGGTTTGAGAGGACTTGCTTTAGCTCAGGCTACAAGGCCAATATGAATCAAGATGAGATAACGTTGTGCCAAAAAGATTATTCTTATTATTCCTTTTCCTCAAAATTCAAGTTTCATGTGGTTAAAAGTCGTTTTCCTGTTCAGTCCCTGTGTGTTGCTTGTTTGAAACAAGCGTACGAAACGTTTGGTACAATCAGATCTGCCGTTGGACCTTATTGTACGCTTCACTTCCTCTGTACCACACTTCACACATTGAGAAGTCATTCAGCAGAAGGACCAGGGGAATTCAAATCTCATTCCATAATTAATCATATAATGCTAAATGTATTTTGGTATCACTATTTATTGTGTCTTTCATCATAACAACTGTAGTATCGTCCTCAACACACAGAGCTGTTGATTCATCTGCTCGTGGAATCACGTCTGGTTTGTGCCAACACAAATCAGAGCAGAACAGCCATTAAGTTACTGTAACATAAATATCCTTTATATATGATTATAATTCATTTTTAAAAGCAGTCACTATACTGTAGATTAAATGAATGAACAAAAAAACTGACAGTTGATCTATCTAATCACCAGACAAAAGTGTTCACAGCCTTTGTGCGTTTGCCCTCTTCAGCTCACCTGTATAGAAACGCTCATTTCCACCAAAGTGATTGCCGCCTCCTGCCTGAGCTTGTCCACTTGCTTTGCCGAGACGATTGCATTTGAATTTCAAATAACATGCAAAGAGTCAGAAGAAGAAAAGCAGAGCTGCCATGTCACGAGCTTGTGATCCGCGGTCGTCCCTGTGCAGAAGTCTGGACATTGTTTCGTTAGAGGGGGATGTGGCCAGGCCTGTGAGAGCTCTGTGATGCACCAGGCGATTACCATGAACAGAGTGATTTACCATGAACAGAGGGATGGCCAATCAAACAGCGTGGAGAAGAGGCAGATGCTCATTAGCCAAACACTAGACAGAAATGTTCTAATGACACAAGAGCTAACCTCCACTTCAGAACAGCGACGGCAGGCTTCTGGAGCTATTGTCACTGGAGGAGGTCAATGTTGGCATGAAGGACACACTTATCTCTCGCTGTGCTGCTCAACCAAAATCACATGGATTGTAAGAATAAGCGTCACTCATAAATCTCACTACGGGGATGTTTATTGAAGCCACCCACTCCATTACTATTCCTTTATAAAGTCACTTTACTGCCCATCATACGTCACTTTACTTCACTGTACTGCTGTCACCTTACATTGTGTGCACCATGTGCACTTGTATATTGTAAATAGTAACTGTAACTCTATTTTAAATTTAAATGTATTCTTTAGAAGTGTTTTTTGTTCTTATTTTTATTACCTCTTTCTGACGGTAAGACTGAGCCAAAGCAATTTCCAAGTCTGTGACTTCTTGTTACTTACGTGGCAATAAAAATGATTCTGATTCTGATTCTGATTCTGATTTATCCTTTGCTGCGCTTCCAGTTTCCGGCTTTATCCAATCAAAACAGGTATTTTTTGATCACTTTAAAAACAAATTTGAATCCAACTCACTTATATTGATTTTTGTGCATAAACTCAAAGAGAAAAGCAAAATATAGTTGAGATGTTAAGTTTCCTTAAAACCTGGAAGAGTGAAAAGGTGGCACACTCAACAACTCTATGTTCTATGTGAGTGTGGAAACTCAGTACCTGGGCAGAGCTGGTGGAGTTGAGCCCATATGAAAACACCTCTGGATTCAGCTACAGCCTCTGTCCTGGACTCATTTACAGCATGGATGTAAATGAGTGCTCCTGGGTTGCCGGGCTTGATTTACAGCCATACTTTGCTTATAGCTAGACATGGAGTATGGCAGGTGGAAACATCATATTTGCTTCACTGACACCAGGAGGGAGAAGTTTGCTGATCCCAGAGCTCTCTGATGCTCTGCAGACGCACACAGTTGGAGAGCTTTGAAGAAGTATTTGGAGTCTGAGACAGAATCAACTGCTGATATACCTATGACCACTGGTTAATCTGCTAGCCTTTTTTTCTATTTGTGTTATTGCACAATTGTGTTATTGATGTCCAAGTCAGTTTTATTCCAATTGTATGGTTTCTATTTTGTCAGAAAATTCTGTGATGTCCTTCGAGACTTGGGCCGTGCAAAAATGATGACTTTTATCTGGATTTTGCTGTAGATTGATTCAATTAGTTTGTGCCTGCTCCTTCCCATCCTGTGGTGTCCTGTGTGTTTCAGAACGACTCGTGGAGCGAGCTGTACTCCTTCGCTCTGTTCAAGGCCATGAGCCACATGTTGTGCATAGGATATGGCCGACAGGCGCCTGAGAGCATGTCAGACATCTGGCTGACCATGCTCAGCATGATCGTGGGCGCTACCTGCTACGCTATGTTCATCGGACACGCCACCGCACTCATTCAGTCGCTGGACTCCTCCCGTCGCCAGTACCAGGAGAAGGTGAGTCCTGCTCTGCTCCCCACACATTAAACCTGTTCTACTCCTCACATTCACATATGACCGAGGCAGTGAAGTGAGGTAAAGGTGACCGTATGTGTTGATAGACTAAAAAAAAACATGAGGTGATATAAATAACTTTGTATCATAAGTGTATCTAATTTTAACAGGCCTAAACCCTAACCCCAAATAACTATTTATTATAGTTCCTTTTTTGTCACAACCACCACCAGTAAGAGCAAGAATTGTTAAAACAATGAGGAGATGTCTTGTCAATCAAGCAATGGAAGTCATTTTGTCCAATCAGGAAGCAGAGAGACTGAACATGGGTTTCATGGTTCCTCATGCATTACAAAAGCGTTTCATTTTCATCAAAAATTGACTAAAAATAAATTGGAATGAGACTGTCCCTCCTGTATCTTGGCCTGGTGGCACCACGTTCTTGGCTCCATGGTGGTAGGTAAATACAAGTACGTCCATGTGAGAAATATGAGTTGACCCCTTATGCAGCATATACGTTGAAAAGTAGCTTCTTTTTCAGTGTTTTATTTACAGTGTTTGTATCCACCCATCATCTTTATCTGCTTTATCTGTTGGCGCTGTTGTAGAATTACATACCCCAATGAAGGAGAAAGCTCAAAAGTATTTGTCTTAATTCAGGAGCGTAAGTTTATTGTACACATGTGCGGAGAGCTAACATATACAAAAGGCAGCATACACCAGCTCTGGCGCGCAGAGCTCAGCTTCCTGTTTACATAGACAACACATAAAGACAGTCACGCCCACAACAGATGGGAGGGGGCCACCAGTACAGGAGGCGCATAGGGAGCGTAGGCGCCATGCCCGTGGTGAGGCAATCAGACAGTGGCATGGAGGTGCAAACAGACAGACAATGGTCATGCAGGATGTAGAGAGGCAGGCATACAGATGCAAGATGCGAAAGGGACAGGGGTGAGACAGTGATTTGCATCATTGTCTGGCGGTGCGGGAAGGACTGGCTCCTTCCTGCAGGTTAGCTGGATAGAGCAGCAGGGGGGGAGTGAGTTGGCGTCCCCGAGTCACAGGCAGATTGCCATCACACTCCTCTCCCGTGATAATGTAGAAACTCCAGTTTTACAGAGATCACATTCAGGTGGGTGAGTATTGACCTTGACCCCTGAGCAAAACAAGAGTTGTTGATGGGCAGGCTAGGCTGCCGTCACCCAAGCCTCTTGTATTACGAGGGTGTGGTCAAAGCTCTTCACTGTGATACCCTCCCCCTAAACTGTAGGCGAAACAAGTGGAAAAATAAAAACAAGGTAAACAAGAAAGAAAAACGTTAGACAAAGTCATCGTCCGAATCGCTGATATAATCAGGATCGGAGTTCAGTGGGACAGCGGCCAGGTCCGCCTCAGGGTCTTTGTATTGAATGGACACAAAGTGAGTGGATACCATTTTACCAACGGCCCGAAACACCATAGGTAATACACATGAAAATAAAATCATAACAGTCAATAGGGCTAAACCAAGATTAATGAGCACACTCCGCCAGGAGGACAGGAGCCAGTCCTGACCGTGAGGAGTGTCCGTGACATTGTCCGCTTGCATGGCGTCCCGGAGTCTAGTCAGATTGGCTATGCCCTGTTGGATAAGACCTCCGTCCTCATCATTAGCCGGAATATATGTACAGCAGGACGATACTAACATAATAAACACGGTCAGCACGGAAAGTAGTGTCAGTGTGGCCAGCATAACAGTCCAAGGGCCCATGCCGGTCTTAGCCGGGCTACATTCGGTAGTCTTTTCCGCGGGAATACTCACGAACAGTGCCGTCTTGCAGTCAGTGGCACCGCTCCCTATGAGCGTGTGTGGAGCGTTAGTGGTCATGGCGATGTTTGGTCTTGGAGCGGCAAGACTCTAATCGCGTTGAAGCCTTGGCCTCAGCACTCGGTTGGGCAGAGTGCTCGGGGTTTGGGGTGTGGCCTTGGGGTCCGGGGGCTGGGGAGTTGGGCAAAGGGGGGTCGCCTCGGGAACGCTGGGATTCTCTGGGTGTTGTTGTTGGCCTGCTTCACCGACGGTGGCCGCACGCCGGCCGACCTCTTCAGCGTAGGGAGCCGCGGATGGGCCTGGTCCGTCCGTGCCCTCGGTGTCCTCGTCTATGGCCCTCAGTGGCAGCACCGCACGACAGTGGTTGGCGTGGATCCTAGTTGTCCTCTCCGCGACCTTAACGGCAGTATCCGTCACCAGGAGGACGAGGAATGGGCCCAGCCAGCGCTTGGACCGCCAATGTTGTCGTCTCGTTTCCTTCACCAGGACCCAGTCGCCTGGCTTGATCTTGTGCGGAGCCGCCTGCGCAGCCTGTGGCAGGGCGCTCCTGACCTGGGCAGAAATAGAGGGCAAAAGTGCATTAATTTCCTTACAATAGGACAGCATGTCGTCATCACACAAAGAGGTGCTTGGCAGATCTCTGTTCGGGGGTCCCGCGCCCAAGTTGGGTGGTCTGGCAAAAGAGGATTTCGAATGGGCTTAGGTTTGACCCTGACCTGACTCTCATGCGCATGTACATGAGGGCTAGCGGCAGAGCTTTGATCCAAGACAGGTCTGTCTGTTCGCAGATTTAACAAGTTTGTTTTTCAGAGTGTCATTCTCTCGCTCGCACGCGCCTCCGCTCCAGGGGGCGTAACTGCAGTGTTTACGTATATCAATGCCCAGAAATTCACCTACTTCCTCAATGACTTTTGCTACAAAGTGACTGCCATTGTCACTAGAGATTTTCTCTCGGGACACCCCATCGTGGACTTCAGTCCATTTGGGCCAGAGATCCACCAGACAGTATTTCTTACCTTGGCATGGTGTGAGTTCAACAAAGTCCCTTTGGACATGTTGAAATGGGCGCAGGGGCGGAGGATGAGCAGCCTGTTGGATAATTTGGGACTTACCTGGGTTGTGCGCGAGGCAGATAGCGCATGTTTGGCAGAATCTTTGTGCAAATGCCGTAAACCCCTTCGTATACCAATTTTGTGTGATTAAATTACACATCCCTCCTTTTGAGGCATGGTCTCGACCATGTGCTAAAATCACAAAATGTCTGAAGAAATGCCGTGGTAAGCACGGTTTTAGGTCTGGTCCCAGCCACACACCATGCCGTCGTTGAGCCCCATTTCCCTCCCACAGCATCGTCTCTGCTGTGCCTGCATTGTTGACAGAGAGGAGAAAATATCAACGTCTTGAGTGAGGTAGTGTGTGTGTGTGTGTAGAGGTGCGTATGCCGCTGCCTTGTCCGCGCGCCGATTCCCTGCAGAGATGGGATCAGTGGCATTAGTGTGGGCCTGGCATTTGCATACAGCGATCTCTAAGGGCAACATTACAGCTTTCAGCAGATGTTCAACCTGTGTGGAATTAAGAATTGGTTTACCATCAGATTTCATAGAATTGCGGTGTTTCCACAGTGCCCCCCAGTCGTGCACCACAGAGAAACCATAACGCTTATCACAGAATATGTTAACAGTTTTGCCCGCTGCCAGCTCACAAGCCCCGGTGGGCGCGACCAGTTCAGCGGTTTGTGCTGAATGGTGATGGGGCAAACTACCAGAGTCTATAGTATCAAAATCAGAGCACACAGCATAGCCGATTCGGTTCTTCCCAGTGTTGTCACGTGACGCGGCTCCATCTGTATATAAAAAATCAAGTCAGGATTAGTCAGAGGTACCTCTTTCAGGTCTGGCCTGGGAGTGCATATCTGTTCTATTGTGGCGATACAGCAGTGTGCCTCCCCTTCCTCTGGCGTGGGCAGCAGCGAGGAGGAGTTCAGCTGTGTGCATTCCTTCACCGTAGTTCAAAGAGCACCGTGTTGTACCCCAGCCAACGAGCCGCAGAAAGGCGAGAGGCCCTCTGCTCTAACAGGATCAGGGAAACAGCATGGGGCACAAGCAAAGTTAGTTCAGTGTATCCCACAAGGTCACGTGATGCTAGGGCCGCTTTCTCAGCGGCAGCCACAGCCCGCAGGCAGCGAGGCAACCCTGCTGCCACGGGATCGAGTTTTGCTGAGAAGTAAGCAGTGGGTCTCAGTGGCCCTCCGTGAGACTGCAAAAGTACCGCCACCATGCACCCACACCGCTCATCCACAGTCTGAGTGAATGGCCAAGCTGGGTCAGGGAGACCTAGTGTGTGTGTGTAGATTTGCTGTTCCGTTCATCTCCAGTTGCTTTTCTCCCGGATCGTCCTCAATTCATATTGTGGGCTTTGGTGCCAAGGTAGAGGCTCATTTCCTCATGATCCATACTACTGTCATCCCTGAAGCAGGGGTAGTTTATCTCTCATCTGAAAAAGAAATATTAGAACACAAAAAACACAAAAAATGCCCACTTTCCCTGGCATTGTGCCGCCTGTCAATCTTTTTTCCAATTGGGCAAAACATAACTGCTTTGACACACGGTGTGTGACATCAGGGCAGAGGCTGTAGCCAAATACAGACTTAACAAAATGTATGTTTCTAATTTTATACTCCCCTAAATGTGAGTTTACAAACCAAAGTTGTCCTTCAACCAACGACAGCTCACTGCGGTTGGACCGAATCACTGTCAGGACAAACAGCAGAGGGAGGGACTCCCAATATCTTCAGCAAGGTATTTCATCTCAGAGTACTTTCCGCAGAGTACTTTTCTCAGAGTACTCATCCCAGAGTACTCTCACTTTTACACCTGTTCAATAAAGCTTGTTATCTTTGAATCTCTAATACTTACACCGTATGCTGTTGACAAAAAATAATTATTCCATGATCACATTAAAACATTACAGAAACATTTGTTATTCCATGATTCCGTTCAGCATTCCTCATTTCACTCCTCATTTCACTCCACACTCACATCACACTCACATCACAGGCCGATTCCCCACGTTAGTATATTGGTCCAGGTTGTTAAGGTCAACGTAGTGTACTTTGACATGACGCACAAACATATAACATACACAAACATATAACACACACAAACATATAACACACACAAACATATAACATACACAA